GAATACTGTGCAATTTCTTATAAAGTTAAGTCTAAACTCACCATTCAACCCAGCAATTCCACTCCTATGTATTTACCCAGAAGAAATAAAAACATATGTCCCCACAAAGATTCGCTCATATAATGTTCACAATAGTGAATCAATTTGTGAATGAATAAACAAAATGTAGACCATCAATTTGTGAATGAATAAACAAAATGTGGTATATCCATACAATGGAATACTATGCAGCAATAAGAAGGAACAAACTACTGATGAATGATAAAAAATAGAAGACTCTCAAAAACCTTATACTAATTGAAAGACAGATGCAAAACACTACATATTGTATGATTCTACTTACATTCGTTGTCCAGAAAAGGAATCTCTATATACAGAGAAAGCAAATTAGTGGTGACCTGGGGATGGGGACAGGAATAGGAATTGACAGTAAATGGGCACAAGGGACCTTCCTGACATGATGAAAATGATCTACAACTGGGTTGTGGTGAAAGTGGCACAACTTAAAATCTACTGAAAATGCCAACGTGCATGCTTAAAAACAGACATCAAGGTATATAAATTATACCTCAATAAAGCTGTTCAAAAAAATGAAATCAAAGTACTGTGAACACTACAATGTAGTGACCACAGTATCATCTGGGAAGATATAACTTTCCAATCAGTGGAGAGAAGCAGGGGGATGAGCAGGGAGAGTACTTAATCTGAACAACGGTAACGAGGGAGAAAAAGAATAAGCAAACAAGCAGGATAAATAGAATGCCCAAAGCAAGACAGCAGNGAGGGAGAAAAAGAATAAGCAAACAAGCAGGATAAATAGAATGCCCAAAGCAAGACAGCAGAAGTCGTCCCAATGAGAGTAGTTACAATAAACACAGACTAAACTTGACAGTTATAGGACATTGTCTGAGTAGGTTAAAAACTGTTTACAATAATAAATTACTATTAGGTACATATATGATACAAACATACAAAAACAAAACAAAGATCACACGCATACACAAGATGGAACATGTTACACTAGGAAAATATCTAGTTATATTAATGTTATGCAAAATACTTTAAGGCAAAAAACATGATTAGGAATAAAGTCATATGAGGCCACGTGATGAGAACCATACCAATTCTAAACTTATATGCACGCAATGCCTCAATTCACATAAAAAAGAAAATGAGTAGTTTTTCAACAAAATACTATTATACTGATTACTTCTCATATTACTTTTACTACTCTATCTGCACGTTGCTTTTGTTCATGCATATGACCAAATAACATCACTGAAACTCCACTCCATTCCATCAAGTCAAAATGAATTCTCTCATATATGAAGTTTAAAAAACAACACAGCTTTCAAATTCATATTTTTAAAAAGGTGATCTCACCATGAATAAGCAAGATTACAGAGACATTATACAGAT